CAGGGGCACGAGTCTTGGGGAAGCACGGAGAGGTGCAGCCAAGGACTGATTCTTGTTCTTAGTTTTCTCTTGTCTGAGAAGCATCCATAACATACATGTCTGTTGCATGTTGTATGCATTCACAGGCTTTAGATGCATTGTAAATCAATACTCTGCAAACTAAAACTATGCTTTTACAATAGCCATCATTCTAGATCTATTTTGCTTTCTGTCATTCTTGATTCCGTGCACAAAACTCTTTTGAAGTTCTTTTTTGTGTGTTTTGTAAGTAGGTCTTTCTATTTGAAAGTTTTAATTATCACCCACTGACTTTGGTTACAACGGCAACAGAACAGTAAAAATTTACAGCAAAGATTTAACTAGAGAGTCTGTGGCTTGGAATGTCATTGTTAAGTTTTAGGAACAGAGCTGGTAAGTATCAGTTTTACTTCTTAGCTGCTCACCTAAAAATAGTAAATAGTTGAGACTGTTTTACTTAAAAATCACTTTGTTTTTCAGCATATAATATACAACTCATTTTCAGTTTTCTTTTTGGATGCCTAGGATTAGTTTATTGATAGATTTTTAGTGGAGAAAAATTGTGAACTGTAACTCCTTTGCCCTGTTACTTTTTTTAAAAGCTCTGGAGACTGTAAATGTTCACATGTTCTACTGAAGGATTGCAAAAGTAACATTCATTTATAACATTTGAAGGATTATTCATGGAAAAATTATGCAAAGGAAAAAACAGTGAGATCCTTTGGGATATGTGTAAACTTTTCCAAATGTTCTTGCCACAGACCTCTGAACAGCACTCAGCTCGCTCTGATGAAGTTGTCTCACGTTCCCTAACACAAACAAATTTTTAATAATGTTACAGTATTTTTATACATTATTTTTGTGCTTGTCAACGTAGTCTCAAAAATGATGCTGAGAAATAATGAAAACCAAACTAACCCTTGTTCATGCCAGCTGACTGGAAAATCCTACTAAGAGTGCTTTGTCTCCATGAAAGGCAAAATAGCAGAATAGCAATCATGGTAACAGTATGCACTAGGAGTGGAGCCAGGAGAGTAGAGAGGAGAGTTAGCAGTAGCAGATGACTTCACTTATTGGAAAAAAGGGGCAAAATAACTCAATCTCAAATGAATTTAAATATTAGAATTTTGTTATCAGCAGTATCAGGCATAGCTTCCCCAGCCCATTGCTCAGCAGTCTGGTATGTTCATAAACGTCCCTCGGTGTGTGCAGTTTTCATCAGTATCTTACCACTTACTCTTTGGCATCCTTCTTGGCACAGGCTGTCTTGTCTCTTACCCCTTTACAGAAATAAGGTCATCTCCCCAGTGCCCCACAGCTCACGCTGACACCCTCTGCACTCCAGTTCTTGCTGAACTGGGCGTACGCTGCAGCACACGTCCTGTCTGACGAGAACTCTGAACTTCACAGTTCTTTATAGACCTTTGACAGCAGAGCAGATGCAAAGACTTTGTAAAGGTTTTTAAGCTCGGATTCTTTTTACCCTTAGCTCAGGGTTTACAGAGCCAAACTGTACATACTTCCTTCTCTTGCCTTGGAGATGAGGAAGATGCAGAACTACATAGAAAATGTCCGCTCCAGACAGAGTAATACCAGCACAGCTGGTATTCTGTCTTCATCTTATTCCACAAAGCACTCTGTCATCAGGATCTTCGCTTAAAGACACCTAAGTAGGAATTAGAATTAAGTCCATTACCTCCTTTCACAGGACAGATGAGAGCAATTGTGATTGCCATGTATAATAGCAAGGAAGCCAGGCTGGAACTGTTGGCTTAAGTTGTGAGGCTTCTATACCTATTTCCACAAATTCCATCACCCTTGACACATCTCGCCTTAGCCAGGCAATATTTTGACCTGAACTGAAGTCTGATTCTACAATCTCATTTTCAATCTGAGATATGCAGTCCTTTTAGACACTTTACATAATTTGTTTCAGAGTTTGGGGTTTTTTTTTCAAATTTTCTGCTCTGAAGCTGTCCAGGTAATAAAAGCTCTTGCTAAAATCAAGTTACAATGATCAATCTTTAAATATTTTTGTTTTGTATTCAGATTGGTGCAAATTTCACTCCATGCTTCCTGAATGGGGGGGCTGATTTCCAAAAAAGGGGAGTGTAGAGTGAAAACTCCCAAAGAACTATTTTTGCCAGTAGACAACATCTCTTTATTTTTTGTAGGTTTTGATAGTGATAATGTTTGAACCTATAAATACTTTAAAATACCTGGAGTCAATCCAGATGACTTTGATTTTGTAATGGCTTGATTGTGTCAACATAAGACTTGTTATTTTGCTGTTCTTTTTTTAGATAAAGTAGTTTTGGTGCAGTCTTCATGCTTTATTTCAATGAATATTGTCTTAGAATCAAATTTATCTTACTGCTTTCAGCTCTGTGACTCTCCATGGTGAGAAACTTAAACCTTTAAACACTTATGTATCAGAAAATTTAACAGTTATTTTGACATGTGGCATAGTGTCTGTGTGAAAAAAACGCTGTACCATACTTGTACTCTTTTAGGACTGTGCCTTGAGATTGCTGCTATTTCACAGGCTGTACTTTCAACAGTTTGTTAAACATAATGCTTCAGTACCACTTGGTGAACTATAATGTCATCAACTTAAAAGAACTTGATGTAAATCAGGATTTAGAACTGGCAACAGAGAGAAAGAGCTGAAAACTGAAAAATAACACAGAAAGCTGAACCAATCCTGCAGCCAAATTAAGGGACAAGTAGTGACTTAATGCATTGCAAGGTGTGATGGTAACCTCAGAGTGGCCACGTTAACACTGAAGTTTATGCTGAGTTTCAGACTAACCTCTTGCTGATACATGCTCACAATTCTCAGGAAAATTCTCTTTTGGCTGCCACTATCTTCACACTGGGTCTCAGTTTCAATATATTTTAAGCTTCTTAGCAGGTAGCAAACATCTCAGTAGTCCTAAGTATTTTACTATTCAAAAGTCGAAAATATCCGATGGAAAGGAACTACAAATAAAGCATGCAGAGGGAACTCCTTTTTGTCAGCCTGGTTCATCAGAAGGGCTGGAGGTTTTCGAGTAAAAGAACTTGTAATCATTCCTGAAACTTCTGAATGCATTTGGTTTGTCTCTGTGTAAATTTCAAGAATTTGTAATGAAAACTTGTACTAAAAGGCTTTAGTGGAATATATGCTCTTGCTAGTAATATAACAGGCAGATTTTCAGACCTAATGGTGAAATACTAATTCAAACAGTTTTTACACTAAACTATTCACCACCTAATTGTGCTCGGATTCATACTTTTTTATATTCTAACTTGTGCTTAGCTCCATGGCAGAAGAGAAAGATGAACCCTATTGTCTTTAGAGAAAAAGCTTCCAATGTCGTCTTACAGCCTAAATACAACACAATTTTAATTGAAAATGCAACAGAACATTGTACTCAGCCCTCTTCCAAACTTCCAGCCCTGTTGTTCTGGTTGAATCTCTGGATCGAGTAATGATTAAAAGTGCAGGTTTTTTTAAAACTTTATGTGGCCTTTAAGCATAAGACCTTTCCTGAAGCCACATAATGCCAGTGACTCGTGCTACTGGTGTCATGTTTCACAAATTCTCAATTGTGTGATGGTAGCAAAGACAGGCAGACAAAAATACTGTCCAGAGAAGTTGTGGATGCCCCATTCCTGGAGATGCTCAAGGCCAGACTGGATGAGGCTTTGAGCAACGTGGAAGATGGCCTTGCAGGGCTACCTAAAATTGAATTATATTACCAAGAGCATTGTCCAGATGCTCCTTGTACTCTGACAGGCTGGGTGCTGTGACCACTTCCCTGGGGATCCTGTTCCAGTGACCAACCACCCTCTCAGAACCATTTCTGTTATGAGTGTAGCTTTGCATCCTGTTGTCAAACTGTGCCCTGGAATGTTGGGGTTTTGTTTGATTTTTTTTTTTTCTATTTCTGTTTATCACTAATATAAGGGCAGACACTTTTGTAAGGATTCTGATGATAGTTGTATGTGGTTTTTAACATCACAAAGTTTCTGTCTCTGTCGACCTCTTAACAGGGATTTTAGTTTAGAGGCCAGAAGCTGACTTGAGCTGAGGTCACTGGAGCCTCCAAGAAGTGGTTCCTGTAATGCACGGGGAAGGAAGTCTGTTTCACTGCTACCTGAGCTGTACAAATCTGGAGATAAATAGGGGGCAGACAGCCATTTTCATGACCACTGTTCCCACTTCTGTCACAAGCACCAATGCCACAACTAAATGTTTAAAAGTGAAATCTCAACTGTTTATTACAAAGCCAAGAATAGCCTTGCATTCACTGAGGATGATGATAGGCTGTGTTGTTCTCCACTGTATTGAAAAGTTCACTGCCAGCCTTTTGCAAACAGCATCAAGGAACTGGAACAGGAACAGCTTGTCCATGTTTTCCATAAGGCCTCATAAAATCTGTAAAATGAGAGGAAGAATAATTGCAGTGAGACATCTCTAGAGCTCATAGATGATTGAGAAGTAATGCATCTGTCTGGCCCTTAGATACATGAAAAGCCCCTGCTTTCTCTTACATGCTTAAGCTGTGAGTCAGTATGAGCAGATTGTTTACAGTTTATTCACAACATGGAGTTGTGAACAAAATTTTTTTTTTATTCCTGCTCACACCCGAAGTACAAACTGACTTTCTGGCTCTGTGTATTACACCTTGGCACATCCAGCTGTTGTAAGGGTGCCAAGACTTTTGTAGGAGTTCGTTGTTAAAAGTATGTGCAAAGCTGTTTTAAAAATTACTTGCAGACAGTTTAAGAGTATAGAGATGAAGTCGCAACAGAAATGGATGGTGTAACCCTAATGCATAAGAAACAGTTCTTCAGAAATAGTGCCTTTTGGTTTTCTGTAACAATTCATTTTAGTTGGAGGCTAAATACACCAGCCCATGAAAATTCTGGGGTTTGCATCAGTTCAGTGTTAAATGATCTCTGTCTTTTA